AGACATGACATACATACTAATGTGACAGGGTGACTGAGTGACAAATAGACAGACGGACTGACAAACATGCAGACAGATACGGTGACAAGTCACATAGACTGTTCACACAAACAGTTCACACAAACACTTCACATGCTTACAGACAGACCTGCTAACAGAATGATGGACAAACGGACAGACAGACCTTCTTGGTGCTGTGTGCAGCAGCCATGACAAGTCACACACACATGCACAAATAAACAAAGAAGGAGGAGGAGGAGAAGTCTTTCTCTCTCTCTCTCTCTCTCTCTCTCTCTCTCTCTCTCTCTCTCTCTCTCTCTCTCTCTCTCTCTCTCTCTCTCTCTCTCTCTCTCTCTCNAAAAAAAAAAACGCTCTCCGTGAACTCCATGAACTCCTGTGTCGTGAACAGCGTGAACTCCATGACCGGTCTCCGTCCACAGACCCCGTGAACGGTGACTGGTGGAACGACACTGATATGGAGATATATCACAACGCATTGATCCAGAGTCTCTAACTCGGTCCTCCCTTGGTTCAAACAATGGAGTTTACTGGGAGGATTACCAGAAGGAGCATAACTCACCAAAGGGTGGGGCTATGTTGCGCAAGTATTCAGAGCTTGTGGGTTCCAGGTAATCTGGCAATGTCGGAATGACCGTGTGTTTAATGATACAGAATCATGGTCCAACAAACAGATTCGCTCAACATTTACTACGCTTCTCCGCAGGCAGATTCAGGCGGATTGGCGAAGAAGAGTATCTAAGGCAAGTGTGGAAGGTAGCGGAATCCGCTGGCTCGGAATGACTTGGTGTATCAACAATACACTAGCCACGGTGGGATCAGATAGGAAGCTGAATTTAGGCCCCTGGCTATTTAGCTAATGAGAGGGTGGTAAATCCTAGACGCTTTTGGTTTCACCCATCAACTTCCCGGGGTGATAGGATAAATGGTCAGCGGTGCATTAGTAGGTAACCTCGGTTGAACCTGAATGCTCTGTTCGTTGGCCACAGGAGGCAGGCAGGGGGAACTTGAGCAGAGGGAGCATTGTTTGTAGTAGAAAGGATTCAATCCGGCCTTCGAGTCAGAAGGCTTGCTAGGGATCTGTGCAGGAGTAGGCTGGAAGGGTTAGGCTGTAGAGTATAAGGGTAGCATAGGGCGGTAGAGATTTTGGGGGATTGTTTGGAGTTGTGGCCGTGTAGGATGACGATTATTGGTGGTTTTTGGGATTGCTCGGCTTTTATAGGCCTTGTGGATATCCTCTGTTCTCAGGTTTGGGCTTTTCAAGGCAGCGGGCCAGATCCGACCATCTCTGTCTTAGAGTAACTGCCCAAAGCCTGCCCCAAGCTGGGATTTGGCCCAGCAAGATTTTCCGGGTTGTTTGTGGAGGGATTCCCGGCCTCCTTTTGCTGTGGTAA